GTTTCAAAGTTATTAACTAAACGTTTTATCAGCTTACATACATTTTGCATTGTTTATCCTTAGTATATTCTTTTAAATCTTTTATTAAAAGATAAATAATGTTTCAAAAATAGTAATTTTAAAACTATCAACTTTTATCATATAGCAGGCTTGGTTAGACCACTTAAGCACAAAATGAAATTATCACACTGATGAATCTGAAGAACAAGGCCAGGAATTTCTGGGTGGAAATTTGTGAATTTGGATGGCTGTTATTGGTCTGAAAAAATATCTTTAAAGTTTTGTTTCTCAGGAAGACCATGCTAATTATGGGGTTAACTAAAAATCCAGCCTTACCTGCTGCCTTTCAGCCTAACGTACCTGTGATAAATATTTTCGTCTGAGTTACAGCTTGAGTAAAAGAAAAAAAACACAACAACATAAGGTGGAATTCGTTAGCTTAGCCACTTAGCTAAAACTCCCTGCTCTGACAGGCCAGCTTGAACGCTACAGAGAATGTCGTATTCTCAAAATGTTTGGGAATACAGCGTGCTAAATCCGCTTTTATTCGCAGTGTGACAACTCATTACGCTAAACCGCTGTGGTTTCAAACGCTGTCAATCGACCAAACTGAACACATCGGTGAATATTTAAAGATTAAAATGCCCACCCTTGAAGTAGCTGGGGTTCCACAGTAGTCGGATCCCACTCCCAGGAAAGCTCCAAAGATGGCTGCCGAGCCCTCAACCGCCGCCTTACGTCGTGAAAATACGTGGGGAAAAATCGCGCGGAGGGGGCTCACATTTCCCCCCCAAACACCCAGAAAACAAGTTGCGGTGGTGTTCGCAAAAGTCCGTACGTAGGGTGGTGGTTTAACCTGCCCTGCTGGCACGTAAAAACTGTTAAGTTATGCGAGTGGAGCTAACTCAGCCTGTCTTCTTTCGACATGCTGCTAACAGCAGTTCCGCCCTGCCTGTTGCAGTAAACTCTGCCTGACCCAGGAACACTCACAGGCGGAAACACTGGAGCACAATTCAAAAAACACTCAACCTGTAAAAGTCTTCTTAGTAAGATATCAAACTGTGACAACGCATGTGTTCATTAAACAATATTACTAACTGGGTAATTTACTTAGGTGATGTGTTTGCTTTTAGTAAACAAAGTACAAGGTGTGGTAATTTTGTATATTATTATTATTATTATTATTATTATTATTATTATTATTATTATTATTAATCCAATGGGAAACATAAATATGAATCTAACCTGTAAAATTAAAAAAAAAATGAGATTTCTTAATGAGAAAAGCAAGGGGTATTTACTTGTAAATAAAGCCTAAATATATCATAATTTCATAATCATAATAATCATAATATACATAATCATTAATTTTTTACTGCTTATCCATACATACATATGCAAAATGTGTTTTAAAGGCCCCACGAATCCGTAATAATGCGTTTTTACATATGACACAGAATCAAAAAGTTCTGTCATAATCTTTTAATATAGTTTCTCCTTTTGTTTTTACAGACAGCATTTTTAAACTTTATTTCTCTGCTTGATTACACCTTTACTCATATTTGTCTTCATTGTTTTCTAAGTAAAACAATCAAGTATCTTGCAAAAAGTGAAGAAAAAAGTTTTCTGTTGCGTAAATATGCGTCATACGGACACAGTGTAAACGCATTCCTATTTCTGGCTTTTGTTTTGAAAATCAAATCAGCTTCCGGAACATCTGAAGACACGCCTCTGTTTTATGACGTTGAGCATGTGCGGAAGTAATTAACAGCCACCGTTAGCACATGGTGAAAATGGCAGCGGTGGAGAAACAACAGGGCCACAGAGCCGGCTTATACAAACAAAAGAATAAAGAACATAAGCATGGCAAACACCGGACGAAGGGGGAAATTGAAAAAGAAAGCAAAGGTAAATGTCGGTAAATTATGAAGTGGCGCTACGAGCGAATAGCATTAGCTTGTGACTTTTTCGTGTCTGTAAACACGTGTCTTCAGTAGAAGCCAAGGGAGGATGTTTTGTGCAAGTTATTTTTCTGTGTTTCTGTCGTTTAAAGCACACTTTTTACTGTACGATTTTTAATCAACCTGTTTATGAATGTTTTATTTTATTTACATGATTTGATTGTACTTTTTATGATAAAGTTTTAGGGACAGACAACGTCAATGTTAAGATGAATGATCACAATGACAATGCATGCTGCAAAACACTCATCAGTGCAAATAATAATTTGCCATATGTCAAAGAAGGGGCTGGACGGAATTGTTCCCAACCTCAAAAATAACGGTGTAAATAAAACATTATAAAATGTGACATCATCTGGCAGCTGAATGACGGCTCAAGATTGATCCAAAGCACAAAAAAATAAATACAGAACAGAATTCAGAAAATGATCATCATAACTTGATGTAAATATAATGTGGTTTAATAAGAAAATACACACTGCCTGGTAAATGTAGTTCATTTAATGTATTTTATTTTGAAAATCTGGATAAAACCTGCTAGTTTTTAAAACACTGACATGATAACCTCCCCAATTAGAGTAACAAAAAAGTGTGCATTCTTTCATTGTTATATTCATTTTCTCATGCTCATTTTTACCATAATAATAGCTTCATATTGATAAAATGTGTCACCCTCCTGTGTTGACCACAGGGAGAGTATCAGTGACAGTGCTTACCAAAAAACAGAGGAAGGAGCAAAAGAAGATGGACAGAAGAAACAAAGCGAACCAGATACGCCGAAATAAGAAAGACATGGTATTTCCTATATTACTTTAATTACAGATTATTACAAAGTTGTGTTCGATATTGAAAAAATTACATGTCCCCCTCTCCTTTTAGGTCTTGACAGAAAAGCGGCGTCTGGGCACTAGAGACGGTCCTCCACATTTGGTGGTTGTGTTGTCCCTGCATGCTGAAGCCGATGCTGCAGCTGTTACCAAACTGCTGCGAGGAGAAGGTGCTGGGGGCATTGTGCATCAAGAGCAATGTGTCAGTGGTGTCAGTGACAGCTTTGGACTGATTCTGCCTCGCTTTAAACAAAGGTTTACCTTTTTAAACCAGAGCACAGGTATGTTTTTGTGGAATTGGAGACAGATGTTTGTTTATTAGAAGTAAAATGGGTTTAGTCTTTAAATTAACTAGGTATATCTTCTCTAACCTTCTGTTTGTTTCTTTGCACAGCTGACATGCACTCCTTGTTGGATGTGGTAAAAGTCGCAGATAGTCTTGTGTTTGTGCTGGACTCTACTGAAGGTTGGGACACCTATGGAGAACATTGTCTCTCCTGTCTCTTTGCCCAGGGCCTCCCCAGCCATGGTGAGTATAAATCTGGACAAAACTCTACATTGTCACAGGTTTTTATTTATTTGTTAAATTTTCTGATCTGTCACCTTTCTCTCATATTCCTCACTGGTGTAGCTCTGGTTTGTCAGGGTGTGTCTGAAATTCCTGTGAAGAAGAGAGTCGAATCCAGAAGAGCATTGTCAAAGATTACAGAAATTCGCTTCCCTGATGCCCGTCTTTTCCCTCTGGACTCGGAACAGGATACCACTCTTCTTCTCAGACACCTTGGCAGCCAGAAACAAAGAAAGCTTGGTTTCCGTTCCAGACGTTCTCATCTTTTGGCACAGCACGTCACTTTTACACCCAACAGCCCTTCTGAGGGGACAGGCAGCGGGCCCACTGGCCTGGGCACTCTCTGCGTCTCCGGGTACGTCCGTGGTCGCGCTCTGAAGGTTGACAGGCTTGTGCACATCAGCGGGCATGGAGACTTTCAGCTCAGTCAGGTTGATGCTCCACCAGACCCACTTCCCCTCAACGTAACAAGCAAAACAAGAAAGCCGGGCAAAGGTGGCGACTTTGAAATGCAGGTGAGCGGTTTTACGGTTGAAGTTAATGCAAACAAAAATTATAAACATCTTAATTGTCTTAGGCAAAATCATGTGGAGGTATGCTTGAATAGTAATGTTAATTACTTAATAACAAAAACTGATTCCTTTAAACAGCTGAGTCAGCGTGTTTTGCTTGTTCAAATCTGTGCAGGGAAAGTGAAACCCAATTAAGACACAGCGTTTGTTTGAAATCAGCTTTACTAATGGTGCGTTCACACCGAACGCGATTTCAGCGTCAAAATCGCAGCCAACGCTGAAGTTTGAAGCTTGTGCACTTTGAGGTCAGACGCAGGACACCTGCGCTGCACGGCGACAGCCGCCC